ATTAAAAAACCCGACAGGTTGAATAAATGGATTAAAAACCCCGACACGTTGAATAAATGGATTAAAAACCCCGACAGGTTGAATAAATGGATTGAAAAAACCGACAGGTTGAATAAATGGATTAAAAACCCCGACAGGTTGAATGAATGGATTAAAAAACCCGACAGGTTGAATGAATGGATTAAAAACCCCGACAGGTTGAATAAATGGATTAAAAACCCCGACAGGTTGAATAAATGGATTAAAAACCCCGACAGGTTGAATAAATGGATTAAAAACCCCGACAGGTTGAATAAATGGATTAAAAACCCCGACAGGTTGAATAAATGGATTAAAAACCCCGACACGTTGAATAAATGGATTAAAAACCCCGACAGGTTGAATAAATGTATTAAAAAACCCGACAGGTTGAATAAATGGATTAAAAACCCCGACAGGTTGAATAAATGGATTAAAAAAACCGACAGGTTGAATAAATGGATTAAAAACCCCGACAGGTTGAATAAATGGATTAAAAATCCCGACAGGTTGAATAAATGGATTTAAAACCCCAACAGGTTGAATAAATGGATTAAAAACTCCGACAGGTTGAATAAATGGATTAAAAACCCCGACAGGTTGAATAAATGGATTAAAAACCCCGACAGGTTGAATAAATGGATTAAAAACCCCAACAGGTTGAATAAATGGATTAAAAACCCCGACAGGTTGAATAAATGGATTAAAAACCCCGACAGGTTGAATAAATGGATTAAAACCCCGACAGGTTGAATAAATGGATTAAAAACCCCGACAGGTTGAATAAAGATTGGGAAGTTAAAAAACCCCGACAGGTTGAATAAATGGATTAAAAACCCCGACAGGTTGAATAAATGGATTAAAAACCCCAACAGGTTGAATAAATGGATTAAAAAAACCGACAGGTTGAATAAATGGATTAAAAACCCCGACAGGTTGAATAAATGGATTAAAAAACCCGACAGGTTGAATAAATGGATTTAAAACCCCAACAGGTTGAATAAATGGATTAAAAACTCCGACAGGTTGAATAAATGGATTAAAAACCCCGACAGGTTGAATAAATGGATTAAAAACCCCGACAGGTTGAATAAACGGATTAAAAACCCCGACAGGTTGAATAAATGGATTAAAAACCCCGACAGGTTGAATAAATGGATTAAAAACCCCGACAGGTTGATAACTGAGACACTTGTACAACATCTGAGAATAAAGAACAAGAAGACACAACACAGTGACTGGAACAATACATAAATAATCCGAGCGTGACTTTGTCAATGGTCCAAGTCGGACCGAAACGTCGTCGTAAAGCTCCTCTCTCCTATGTGCGGGTTATTTGTGTGTGACAAACGGTTTGAAAACCGACAAGCTGAAGATTGAGACAGTTTTGCAACATATGGGAATCTTTATTAGGGAAACGTTTCGCCACACAGTGGCTTCACCAGTCCAATACAAAGCAGAGAGGGGCAAAGAGAGGAGAAGTTGGAGGTAATCAGTCCCTCAGCCTGAAATCGATGTGTTCAGTCCAACACAAGAGTGATGGACTGATGAAGCCACTGTGTAGCGAAACGTTTCCTTAATAAAAATTCCCATATATCGCATAAGTGTCTCAATCTTCGGGTTATTGGCGTAACATTTAAGAATCTTCAACCATAACAAGGATACGTTGCCCAACAATCTCATTTATCAAACATTCGCTAATATTCAACAACTCTCTAAAACGTAAGACACATTTTAAAATCAACTCTCGATGTATGTACAACGAAGAGGCGGGGCCAGGAGCTGAGTCTCGACCCCTGCATTATTATTATCATTATAATCAAAGGGGAAGCGCTAAGCCCGTAGGATTATACAGCGCCTGGGGGGGATGTGGAAGGCATTCAGGCTTAATTCGGGGAACTGGAGCACAGATCCAATTCCCTAAATCAAGAGCCCCTCACCAACATCAAGGAACCTTCCTTGAGGGGTCGACCCCTGCAACCACAATTAGGTGAGTACAATCAGGCGAGTACACACACGAAAACCACAACTCTGGAAAAAATAACCACTTTTATTTAATATCTGAGCAACGAACGTAAACTAAGAGGGGAGAAAAAACTCCATCTCGTCCGGTAATTCTTAATTCGATGAATCTTAATGAATTTCGATTATTTTTTTAATTACTAATGGATGTGTTGTGTTCAGTGTTCTCCGTTTAATATGAACATAATGCAATGTTAAATTTAAAATTTAGGTTTAATTGCTTTTTAAACTAAGTGGGCACTAATTTGGTTAAAATATTCGAATTATACTTGTTTAATTAAACAGAGAATTATAGCCCGTCTAACAACATTTGACAAGTTATATAAGCCTTGGTTTAACTCATCAGCCACTGTGGAGCCTTTGGTTTAGCTCATCACCCACTGTGGAACCTTTGGTTTAACTCATCAACCACTGTGGAGCCTTTGGTTTGGCTCCTCACCCACTGTGGAGCCTTTGGTTTAACTCATCAGCCACTGTGGAGCCTTTGGTTTAGCTCATCACCCACTGTGGAACCTTTGGTTTAACTCATCAACCACTGTGGAGCCTTTGGTTTGGCTCCTCACCCACTGTGGAGCCTTTGGTTTAACTCATCATCCACTGTGGAACCTTTTGTTTAACTCATCACCCACTGTGGAGATTGGCTTAACTTATTACTTATTGTGGAGACTTTGGTTTAACTCATCACCCACTGTGGAACCTTTGGTTTAACTCATCACCCACTGTGGAGCCTTTTGTTTGGCTCCTCACCCACTGTGGAGCCTTTGGTTTAACTCATCATCCACTGTGGAGCCTTTGGTTTAACTTTTCATCCACTGTGGAGGTTTATCCAGCGCTAGAAAAAAACACCACAATCTTGAAAGATGTTAAATAACTCTTACTCTGTGCATACGCCTTTGATTCACTCAGACGATATCAATCTCCTTCCATGTACAAAATTATTATACACAGAACAGCGCCTGTCTCCACGCCCTCTGTCTCCACGCCCTGTCTCTCCACGCCCTCTCTTTCTCCACGTCCTCTGTCTCCAGGCCTTGTCTCCACGTCCTCTCTTTCTCCACGCCCTCTGTCTCCACGCCCTCTCTTTCTCCACGCCCTCTGCACAACACTAACTTTCTCTCACTAAACACTATAATGTCACAGCCAATTTTGTTATTCCTTAACCATTATCCTTTTAAAAAGAAAAACTCGTCAGAGGAGGATTAAACGAGAAACAGATTTCTGCGAAATGGAAAAACCATGTCAGCTGTACCTCCAGGTCAGCCATACATCCAGGTCAGCGCCTCGTGGCTCATCTGGGCGATAAAGTCCTCTCGGGTCAGCCCACAAAGCATAGAGAAATTGCACAGAGGGAGCGGCGCGTGATTGGACTTTATTCCCAAATGAGTTGCCGAGACGCGGGGGTTCCAATCACCGCTGTTCTAACCTGTGGAATTTCTCTTTGCAGGATGTGGCGCTTGACGGCGACGCTGCTGGTGGTGACCCTGGCCTCGGCTACTCCCCAGGGAAGCTACAACTACTTGCCTCCGGGAAATGTAAATCCAATTGGTCCCATTGGTCCGATTGGTCCAGGCTGTCCACCCATTACGTCTGTTTTGTTAGATACTCGATTTCAGACGTCGATTCGCGTTCAAACCATTAACCAAGTCAACACTCGGTTTGTCACCACCACTGTGTTCACTCAGCAGATCATACCCACCACGCTGTTTAGTACTCGCATACAAACTCAAGTGCAGTTCCAGACTAGCGTGGTGCAAAGCACCACTTTCTTCTCTAGTAACAGAATAGTAACACAGACTGTACAAGGAGGTGGCAGTGCGGTAACCATCTTTGTAACGACTACCCGAGTCGTCCCGATTGTGAGCTTTGTCACCAGCACTCAGTTTCTGACCCAGGGGTTAACCGTGGAAGTCACCAGCACGCAAATCCAGACTATAAACCAGCCTATAACCCAGTTCTTCACCCAAACAATTCAACAGACTGCCTTTGTCACGGTGACAGGTCCGAACGTGGTGCGAACACGTGTCCAGACTGTGGTACTAACCTCTATCGTGAGACAAGATGTGCCAGGCCCCACCCAGTTCGTCACCACAACACTGGTGCAGCAGCAGGTACAGACAACGTTCGTCCAGGGACAGAATGTTATCAGTACCAGCGTTGTTCAGAGCCAGCAAATCATCCCCTTCACGTCCTTCACCACCACCTTCGTAACTGGAATCGTCACCAGCACGCTGGTGGTCACTAGCACCAACTTCATAACACAGACACAAATTCAGACAGTGTTCAACACCCAGGAGGTCACTCAGACGCAGTTTGTCACTAGTACTATCTTCAGCACAATCGTACAGACTCAGTTCAGTTCGGTCACACAGACGCAGACGGTGTTCCAAACTCAGTTCGTGACCCCTGCCCCGGTTATCAGCACGCTGGAACTGACCCAAACATCTATAGTCCAGATCCCGGGTCAGGTACAACTGGTGACCCAGCAAGTGGTCCAGACACGACAGCAGCAGCAGATAATATTCCAGACGGTAAACAATGCCCAACAATTTGTGGTCACTAGGACCGTCACTGGCATCTGTGGCGGAGGAGGCGGAGGCTTCGGCGGCCAGGGCGGAGGTTTCGGTGGCCAGGGAGGAGGCTTTGGCGGCCAGAGCGGAGGAAGCGGAGGCTTCGGCTTCGATACAGAACCCTCTTCGTTCGGAGAGTCCTCTCCGTATGGATATGGGAAATAAATTATTTACTACGCAAAACTATGGACATATTGACCCCTCGTATATAGCCTGCTAGCGCATATATTAATATATTAAAAGGAGACACTATATTACAGAGTATTTGTCCCACGAAACACGGACACAGAAAACCCTATTATAAATATCAGATAATATATTTGTATTTATGTATATTAAACTTGGTAAAGAAATACTTTTGTATTCATAAAGTTCCTTCAGTAGTGTCTGGATATAAAGTTACACAGTGGTAAGTGTTACAACCTTCTCGTAAACTGTCATATTTGAGAGTATGTTTTTTCACACACAATTTATCTGTAATTGTCACGTTCTTTGTCTCTCCTGCAGGATGCGGCTCTTCCTGATATCTCTGCTGGTGGGGTGCACTTTAGGGGCTACCATTGAGAGGCCGCAGCGCCAAATATATGGTGCCCGCATAAGTTTACAGCCATCGTACGGGCCCGCACCTTGTAATCCTGGCGTGGTGTACAAAACCAAAGTGTTGTACTCTACGGTATACATCCCGTCCACCATCTACAGCAACAACGAGCAGATCATAACCCAAACTGACTACCGCTCGCAGCAAATTTTCACTACAGTCTTTTCGGAATTCGTGAGTACCCAGGTGGTGCCGTCCTTGCTCTTCCAGACAGTGACGGTCACCAGCACGCTGGGCAACGTCATTACGGTAACCGTTACTGTTTCAGGACAAGGCAACACCGTCACACAAACGCAAGAGGTAGTAAGCACAAGCGTGCAGTTCCAGACCCAATTCACAACAATATCCCAGCAGGTACCCACCACTATCACTAGGAACGTGGTGTCAACTGTGGTGATAACACAACAAGTGTTTAGCACGATTTTCCAAACGCAGACGGTGACCAGTACCGTGGAGCTTCCTGGGCAGACCACTACTATTGAGAGCACTCTGATTAGTACCACCTTCTCCACCATAGTGATAACAGCCTCAGCCGTTTTCATTACGCAGACTGCCGTCAGTACCACCTTTGTTACACAGACCGTCACACAACCAGGTCAGACCCAGATCATTACCTCCACTCAGGTGATTCCCGTCACCAGTACCATATTCTCACAGGTGGTGGTGACACAAGGTCAAACCCAGTTTGTTACAAGCACACAAGTACAACAGCAAGTGACCACCGTCACCAGCACCCAGCAGCAAGGATCATTCAACACCAGAACCGTGACCATTCCCACTCAGGTGGTACAAACCCAGGTATCAACTCAGATACTTGGCTCGACCATCTTCACCCAGCAGGTCATACCAACTGTGGTCAGCCTGCCCGCCCAGTCGCAAATCTTGACTGTCTACCGAACTGCGGTGCAGACAGTGCAGGGACCCGGCCAGATCAGGACCATATACCAGACCAAAATTATTTACAACACCAACTTCTTGACCTCAACCGTATTCAACCAAGAGTACCACACAGTGACCACAACACGTACCATAAAACCATACTGCGATACCGGCTATCATCGGAAATCCTCTGGCTACTACCATGGACGCTGAGCTACTGGATGCAAACGGAAGCCCCCAACAAGTGACTGACCAAGTCCTGAAAGCCCAAGTATATTATTTAAATGATATAAATAATTGGTCTCATAGAGGTCTCAGTCACAAGTACTCAAAAAAATATACATATATGAAAAAATACCACAGTGAAAATAGGAAATAAAACCTGAGGGTTTTCATGTGCTTACACACACATCTTCATTACCCTATTCATATCCTATTCCTCAGAAGATGTGTGTAAGCACATGAAAGCGCCCAGGTTTTATTTCGTATTTTCACAATGGTATTATTTTAATATCTGCAATCACGCGTTTTATTGTAACCTCGCTTAGAGTACTTTGTGTTTAAACCAGAATACACTTATATTAATTATAATTTATTAGGAAATTACCTTTGTATATATATATTATATAATATATAACAATGTAAAACAGTTTATAATGATATTTTAAAATAGTTATACATTAACGTATTATACATTAACGTATTATACATTAGTTTCGAATGCTTAACAAAGCTAAATGCATAAAATGTATTTAAAAATGTGATTATTATATAACCAACACGTATCCTCAGTGACACTGTTCATCACCTTTGTTCCAGTAACGAGCGTCTGATGACGTTACTAGTGTTATACGTATCTAAGATTAACGCTAAATGTGAAGAATTAGATACATGTGTAACATCTACACTCCTCTCTTCTCCAGGTGCATAAGTACTTAGTATAACCCACTTTTCGTATCCAACTCTTGTTTTAATCCACATATTACTTGAATTCATATTAGGTTAGGTAAGGTTTGTCAGGAAACAGGACAAGTGTCTCCTGACGCGGGTCTTAGATGATGAGCCGCCATTGGAGGTTTTGGTCATCTGACCGTGGCCTTCCGCTGGCTTACCGGTCCACCCCTTTTAAAATTATGGTCAAAGTTATAACTATTTCATCCTTGAATTTATAAATATTTATATTTCCTCTTTTCCTGACACAGCTGAGCCTTCACCGTTATTACTACTATTTGCTTAGTTCTAACTTTCTCAAATACACCTGACCTAATCCCATTTATTTCTCCCCACTGATGATTGTCTTTATTGTAGACGTTTCGCCGCCCAGTGGCTTTATCAAACTAAATTCAAGAACATAAAGCCACTGCATGGCGAAACGTCTGCAATAAAGATACCCAGATGTTGCACATGTATCTTCAACTTGTCGGTACTCTGTACCATTCATGTACAATGCTAAACGTCTCTGGAACGCAGGAATTCCAATACCACATCTCTTACTGATTAGGGAATGGCCAATATCTGCTCCACCTTCACACACCAACAAAGTCGTAACAGAGAAACTGAGAAGATTGATGTTCATCTCAAGGTTGAGTTGTTCACCTCTGGGTTGTCTTCAGTCTGGTGCTCAGGCCAGCTGGGGTAAGCCAGAGGAGAGAGATTACAAGCTATGATCTGACGTAGACCTTCGTCAGCAGCTATTGGTCACGTGCATTTCCTGACGCATAAAACACCTCCACCTCTGCTTATATATATAGGTATATTATATATGTCATACCGAATAGTAAAAGGCGATTTTGGCTTAAATAGCAAATCTCTTCTTGTCGAATAAGACAAACGAAAATTTGTCTATGCAATAATTTCGCAAAAATCATTCTGAACCTAACGAAAAAAATATATTTCACTGTGTTTCTTTATTATTAAATTACTGTAAACTTATATAAAATATATTTAGTTGAATTAGGCTAAATTAAATTGCGCTTGTTATAATAAGGTTAGGTAAGTTTTCTAAGGTTTTTTGGTACAAAATTATTATTTTTACATTAACATATATAAAAAATATATATCTTTAAACGTATAACAGAAAATTTTAGAAAGTGACTTAATTTAAATGTAGTGCTTGTTAATTTGAACCAATTCTACCTATTCGGCTTCTATTTTTATATTATATACACACATACACAATATATTATTAATATTAATATATTATATATATATATATATTATATATGTATATATATATATAGATATATATATATAATAATATAGATATTATTTATATTGATCGTCCCGAATATGTAAAACTGGTCAATTAGCAAGAACTCATTAAAATTAAGTCTTTCATAAATTTTCATTTATACGTTTAAATAATATATTTTTTTCATTTAATGTTGATGTAAAAGAATTTATGATTTTGCGCACAAAAAGGAACTTAGAAAACTTACCTTTTAACCTTATCTATAACAAGCGCTATTTATTTTAGACCTAACCAATAAATATATTTTGGTTTGTTTACAATAATTTATACTTAAAACAAACACAGTGAAAATATATTTTTTTCTGTTAGGTTCAGATGATTTTGGCGAATTATTGCATACACAAATTTTCACTTGTCACTATATGGCAGATGAACGTTGCTATTAATGCCAAGGTTCGCAAGTATCTGCCTATTCGGACAGACTAGTTTATATATATATATATATATATATAATATTATATATTTATATATATATATTATATATATATTTTATATGTAGTACAATGTTAGATCTATGATGGGCCTCATTTCATAATTTTAACGTGGAAGGAAACAGAGACTACACGATTACTGAAGAGTATTACAGGAAACACTTTTCCACGTATTACCCTTCTATTCAATCTGATTGAGGCCGGTCATGGCCCGGGCCCGCTGGGGCGTGGCCCCCGATGAACTCGCTCCGAGTGTATACTCCAGGTATAATCCAGGTATTACTCCAGGTTATACTCAGGTATACTCTAGGTATACTCGAGGCGAATGACCGAAGCGTTTTCCTTTTATTGTTCATAACAGTATTTGTGGTATTCCACATCTGTTATCACATATTTTAATACTACACATTGCCATGCTACACCATTACCCTTACAATATACCCTGTACACCATGTCCTATACGATATACCATGTTCACCATACCGTATACAGTATTCCGCTGCAAAAGCATTGCACAATGACACAGCTTTACGGTTTTATTGGTTTTACAGGTACTGTGACTTCCGAGTTAGTACACTGCCAGCTGGGTAAGCACCGTCCTTGAGCAGCAGTGACGGCACGATGCGAGGATCGCTCAGTGAAGTCAGGAAAGAGGGTTTTTAAGTATTAGGTTAAGATTTGTCAGGAAACAGGACAAAGATGTTTCCGGGACGGAAAGTCTTAGTCATTTGATGACTCGCGGCTGGAGCTTTTGTAACTTGACCGAGGCTTTCGCTGGCTTACCACTCCTTAGTTTGAAATTAAGGTTAAGGTGGTTAGCTTTGTCTGACTTTGCCAGACTATAATCTGACAGTATCAAGACCTATAGTCTGACAGTGTCATGCTGTGTTGGTCTTGACAAGTGTGTCGCTACAGTCCTGACTGTGTCAGCTATAGTTTGACAGTGTCTGTCTGTTGTTGACAAAATGCAAGGCTCAAAATTGCCAAGATAAATAATATAAGTTTTTTGTTCTCAGACGAATCTTGAATTATAGTCTAATAAATGATCAACTACAGTATTACAACCCCCCCTCCCCCCTCCCTCCTCCCTGACCTCAGCCCCTATTCCCTCAGGGAGGAACCTACAACAGTCGACTAACAACCTATGGAACATATTTACTGTTTGGTGAAACAGAGGCAACTGACGTAAGAGAGTTCTGCTGTCGCCCTCAGGACTGAATCTATAGAGCCTTCGGGTTGTTAGCTGGAGGCTGCTACCACCGAGCTACGGGTATCAGGACACCGTCTCTGCAGCGTCACCCATAAAGGGCCTAAGGGATGGAGAATGGGAAAGCAAACGATTAGCGGACTATAGGATTGATCCTCCACGCCGATTGAACTACACGTGTGCACACATTCGGTAGATATATTTGTAAAAGAATACCATAACGCCCGTGCATGGGATGCTTCTTCAACTGAAACTGTCATACATGTGGACATGACTGCACTTTAATGAACAAAGACACGTGGATGACGTTGCTCTTCAACATGAACACGGCAGTTGGATGACAGCAGCCTCAGAAGTGAACCACGGCACGTGGTAGTTGACGTGCACGTGTTCAACTGAAACATCAACACGTGTGATGACGGCTCTTCAACTGAGAACACTAACACGGTGTAGATGACGGCCTCGACTGATCACGGCACGTGGGGTGACAGTCCTTCAACTGAACACAACACGTGGATGACGGCCTTCAACTGAACACAACACGTGGATGACGGCCTTCAACTGAACACAACACGTGGATGACGGCCTTCAACTGAACACAACACGTGGATGACGGCCTTCAACTGAACACAACACGTGGATGACGGCTCTTCAACTGAACACAACACGTGGATGACGGCCTTCAACTGAACACAACACGTGGCATGACGAGCCTTTCAACTGAGAACACGGCACGTGGTATGAAGGGGCTCGAACAGAACATCAACACGTGGATGACGGCCTTCAACTGAGAACGAACTGGCCGTGTGGGTGTTGACGGCCTTCAACTGAACCAACACGTGGATGACGTGCCTTCAATGAAACACAACACTGTGGATGTCGGCCTTCACTGAACACAAACACGTGGATGACGTGCCTTCAACTTTGAGAACGAACGGCACTGTGGATGACGGACCTTCAACGAACACAGCACGTGGAATGACGCCTTCAACTGAACACAGCAAGTGGATGACGGATTTCAACTGAAACGGCACGTGGATGACCGGCCTTAACTGACACAGCTGCCGTGGATGACGCCCTTTCAACTAGAACTCGGACCGTGTGATGACGGCCTTCAACTGAACACGCAAGTGGATGAAGCCTTCAACTGAACACAGCACGATGGATGACGGGCATTCAAATGAACACGGCCACGTGGATGGATGACGGCCTTATTTCAACTGAACAAGCAGTGGGATGACGGCCTTAAATCTGAACACAACACGTGGATGACGGCCTTCAACTGAACACGGCTAAGTGGATGACGGCCATTCAAAACTGAATACAGCACGTGGATGACGGCCTTCAATGAACACAGCACATGGATGACGGTCCTTCAACTGTAACACGGTACGTGGATGAAGAGGCCTTGATCAACTTGAACACGGTGCTGTCTGCCACCCCCCCCCCCCTTTCCCCCTTCTGGATGACGGCCTTCAACTGAACAAAGCCCACATGGGTTGTCGGCCTTCAACCGAACCAGACGTGGATGTACGGCCTTCTATGAACACAGCACGTGGTGTGTGGGATGACGGCTCTTCACTGAACACGGCACGTGGATGACGGCCTCAGACTGAACACGGCCGTGGGATGAACGGACCTGTCAACTGAACACAGCACATGGATGACGGCATTCAACTGAACACATCACGTGGATGACGG